TATTGGTGATTCAAAGGACTATTGGCGCAAGATGCCTCACATGCACGACTTGTCCAAGTGTGTTTGCAAGCCTGAAGATGGCTGTGGTGATAACTGCCAAAATAGAATTATGCTCTACGAGTGTGATGCTGGCAATTGCAATATCGGAAAGGAGCTTTGCACCAATCGCTCATTCAGCGATTTGGCCGGTCGACGCTCCAAGGGAGGCAAATATAGAGTTGGCGTAGAAGTGATAAAGACGTCGGACCGTGGCTACGGCGTTAGAAGCAACCGCTGCTTCAAAGCAAACCAGATCATTATGGAATACACGGGTGAGATTATTACAGAGGAGGAATGTGAGCGCCGCATGAATGAAGAATACAAGAATAATGAGGTGAGAGCAAAAAAACAACAACAACAACACATTGCTCGAATGAGCTTTCGCTCTGACAATGCCGCTAACTCTTTCTCTTTCTCTTCTCTTCTACAGTGCTACTATTTGATGAGCTTCGACCAGAACATGATCATTGATGCTACTACTGGCAGCATCGCTCGATTTGTTAACCACAGTTGCAACCCCAATTGCCGCATGATCAAATGGATTGTCTCGGGACAGCCTCGCATGGCTCTTTTTGCTGGGGACCGGCCCATCATGACGGGGGATGAGCTCACCTACGACTACAACTTTGACCCCTTCTCCGCCAAGAATGTGCAGAAATGCCTCTGCGGCGAACACAACTGCCGCGGAGTCCTGGGTCCGAAACCACGCGACGTCAAGTCTTCCAAGACGGACATCAAGAAGACGGTCAAGGCAACTGTCAAGGCTGGGAAGCGCAAGCTGAAGGAGCTCATTGGTGAAGAGGAAGCCGAAAGCGGGAAAGCAAAGAAGCGCAAGGTTGCGGCCGCCAAGGGTGTCCAGCGATCCATTTCGAATGTCAGTCTCAAGGCCGCCAAGGGTGCTGCGACGGCCTTGAAGAAGGGCGTGTCGTCCATCACGGTTAAGGGAAAGAAGTCGATGGCGAACAAGTCTCCAGTCCAGAGACGCGCCAGCACGGGCGCCGCCATCATCAAGAAGAAGACTACCACGAAGCTGGTCAAGAAGAATGGCCCTGGCGGCCGAGTTGCCCATGTTTCGTCGCGAGCTTCAAGCATGACTATAGTGGCTGTTGCTGATGAGAACGCCAAGCCTGGTAAGAAGGGCAAGGTGGTGTCTCCTGCCGGGGCTAAGCGGACGCTTTCGGAGTCTAACAAGGTCTCGCGCGTGTCGTTGAGCTCGACTGGCCGTGTTCTTAAGCCTTCGCCCAAGGCCAAGATTCGACTGGTCCCTCAGGAGTAACGCGGCAGTAGTCTGGAGGCAGGTGGACAGCAAGGGGAGAGCGCGGGAACGGGGAATGTGATGAGAGAGGAGCTACATACTGGATCGATGGAGTGACGCGAGAATTCCGTCGAATGGCTTTTTTTCTTCTAGTTTGCTGTGATTTGCTGTGAGGGACATGTTTGGTTGAAGGGATGTATTTGGCGCACAGGCGAATTACAGGAATTTTTGGCACTGTATAGTATATGGGTTGCTTTTGCTCAGCGGTCATGGAGGCGAACACGAGGGGGGGATATGTAGCTTTTTGAACGATTGCTTGTGTGGTTTGATGTTGGTGTGCTGTGCGTGTGATGGTGACTGGTACGCCGTGGATGTTGGCTGTGTAGGCGCTAGGTTTCTGGGACGGCTGGGGATTTTGTGTTGTCAGGTTGGTTACTGGTTTGTGTGCTGGTTCGGGCGGCACCTGGGAGCCTTTCGGCTCGACTTGTGGCTGCTTGTTGGAACCTGGACCGGCGCTGTGCTGTCGACTCCTTGTTTAGATCTTGTTGCTCCTATGTTGGTTTGATGGCCTAGGGGCCGGCTTGTAGGCTGGCTATTGGCCTCGGCGGGTTTTGCTGCGGGACTTGACGGGTAGACCTGGTACCGGACCCTTCCTTGGTGACGGTTTTCTTGTCGCCTACCCGTTGGTGACTATGGCAAGACTACTTGGTTGTGAACGGTACATGTACCCCGTGTGCGATTGGTGGGTGGGTGGGATACGGTGACGGTGTTTTGCTCTGGTGTTCAATGTTGGTGTTCTAATGGACGGCGTAAACTCACGGCCGTTGAAGAAGAGCGCTGTTGCGTCGGTAGATTGACACAAAGCATGCGCAGCCCCGCCTTGTATTATACTTGTATTAGTATTCATCTTGGAAGGGAAATAATAAATGACTTGATGTATATGTTTGTTGCATATGACAGTCTGGTAGATGATATTTACCTACTAATAAGTATACACTCAAATACTGTGGCTGTGTTATATTATAGAGATGATAGAGCATCATGCCCAGGTATACGATCCGGTTGACTGCTTTTTGCCTCGCACTGCATGTAATGTCTTTTCTCGCATGATACTGCATCAGGGCGGGAGGTCACATTACACATGATTCGTAATCAGCAACCCGTCCGGGTGCTGTTTAAAAGCAAGACAGCGAAGCATACGAATAACAAATGTTTCTTCTTCTCCTCCCTAGCACAAGAGCCCTGACATGCTATCCAATTTTAGATGCCTCCGAGCGAGATGGACATCAACCGCAATCACGCTTACTATTCACAAATTGCTGTAAAACTCCACAATATCAAGCTTTACCATTGCTGCCATTTGACCCAGCAACGTCCGGCTTGCAGACGGCCACTTGGCCAGCCCATGCAAATCCACGACGACTACCATGGAGAAGACCGACTTGCCGCAACGTCCAGATACTGTACACAAAAAGCCCGTTCAAGTTGACAAGTCACACGAAACAAAGTCCCTGTCCGCACGCCCAAGGGCAGCACCCTGTTTTCAGAGGTCTCGGGCCTTCGGTCACGCTAACGGCAAAGCGAAACATGTTCGTAATCCAAGTGAAGCCATTCGAGCGATGCTGTATGCCCCGCTACCTTGCCGGCGTTTTCGTGGTATTGGATCAGTGCAAGCTGGGCATAGAGACTACCGCCACCGGCGCAGGGTGCATATCGTGTGTCGTGGAGGACGGATAAGTCGCAGCAGTTATGACCCTGCTGCATAATCTGCTGTTTCCCGCACACTCTGGACGGTATTTGTGGACTTGGTCTATATGACTGGCTTTGTTTGGTTCTTGGCTGGAGATGGGGGCGTTGGCTTTGATAAGTTGCCTTGCTGTTCAAAGTGTCAATTGCTAGATGCATCTAGAGCAACTTACTTGAGAGGGGCTTCGTTGCATCGCTGTAGTGGTCCAAACAGCTTTACAACGTGTCGTAATTGTAATTGTCGCTTGGAGCATGAACCAATAAGCGTAGTGAACTTGCAGGTGAATCCATCATCTCACGAATGACTCCAATCCAACAGTGACAACCCCTGGCCTCGCCAAATATCGGCCCAGTCGCCGCAGTGGTGCTCAGCAGCGGCAAGGGCGTTGGCAAAACTCCGACATGGGACATGCTTTTCCTTGACACCGACGCTTCTGCGCACTAGATGCTGCCAGACACCAAACTGGGCTGTCCACGACGTGCTCGGCATTGCAACTTGCCGTGGCCACGCGGCTAAATGAGCGCTGTTGGTACGCATAACGAACAAGCCGAGAGGAAAATACATGTCCTCGTGATGGGCGGCCAGTGTGTCCTGCAAGACGCCATGATGGCGAGCCCAGGGGCTCACAACCGCGGGTTCGGCCATGACGTTCATGTTGCCGCTGTACAACTTGGCCAGACTGCACATACAACGTCGCAGAATGGCGCGACCAAGAGGTTGACGTGGTTTTCAACGGTATCGCCAATCACCACGAGGACGTCAAAGACGGTGCGGCAACAGTTGCTTGCTTGGCTTCTTTCATAGCCATGAAGTCCAACCACCCGCTGGGTTTGGCAGCACCGCCTTTGAGAAACGGTGCGGTGTCCATCCTAAGGGCGCACAAGCGGCTGAAAACACCAAAGCCCGTGTGAATCCATAATTACTAGGCATTATAGGCAAACCGTTCCGGATACGTCACTGACTCACTGCGTAGATGTGGCCGTGTGGTGAATCGTGCCGGACTGCCGTCTTTGTAGCACCCATCTGACTGCGTTTGCCGCCGAATGCGATGCGGGAAGCACAAACACACTCCTTACTACCACATCTTTTTCTCTCAACGCTTTCTAGGTGTGTTCGTCATGCCATCGCCTTTCGCTCGCTAGGAAATGGCTGGATGGCTTCCCGGGACACATTGGCCAGCGGATGGCTGGGGGCTGATGCCTCCCAGTGGATTGAGCATATCTAATGGGAGCTGTAAAAAAGGCTCACAAGGAAGGTTTTAAGCTGTGTACTAGTTATTTAAACTTGCTAGGAAAAGAGACCTTGTTCGTGAAGATGATGTAGTACTGCCACGATTTCGCGCCATGGATCGCATCGAATGTGGACTTACTCCTTAATTAATCTATACTAATGTAATTTAGGTGGGCTTTTTAGTTGGAAATCGAAAGGCATTTGATAGAAAAGGCCGTCTTTTAATGGCAAAAAGGTTGTAGTCACTGGTCAGTAGGTTTGCTAGTGGGTTCCTAGTTTGAACTTTCAAATGTTCTAGATGACTCATTTTTGATGACATAGGTGACCTGCTCGTTTACATGTACTCATATAAATCTACCATGTATTCCTCCCATCTTGTCAGCCTCCCTCTTTTGTCCATTGACTCTCTTTCTTGTTGATATTGTCCTTACGTCAACATCACCACACCACAACCTGTCTTTCTGTGACGAGGGCTTTTGTATAAGGGCTTTAAACAAATTCGATTCAGCTAATAATTCGCCTAAATATCACAGCTCCTTGGTTTTCTCAAGACCTCGAGGGGGAGTGACCCTTATCTCTAGCAGCGCTGAGCAAGCGAGCCTGGAAGCCCAAGGCCTCAACTAAATCTCGAGCCCTTGTGTAACTATCGTCAAGTTCAAGGTACGTGGCCTCCGTGCAACACCTTCTCCCTGTAATTAATCTCGATTTCATCAGCACGAATTCATCAATATGAAAACTTACCCTATGAATACTTACGCTTGGGAACCAATCTTCTCTCCGCTCGATGCCGACAACTTGGAGCGCAGTGGCCTGCTTGGACCCGTCGACATCACTGGAAAGCGAAAATGCCACAAGCGTCGTCTCAATCGTCTCAGTGATGAAGAGCACAAGGACATTCCCCTTGATGTAGGTATAGGCTCCCCTGGTGAAGCCGACGCCTTTGCCACGATACCAGACGCCATCATTTCACGAGAATCATTGAATTATCTGGGTCTCTCTACACACATGGCCGATGTGATCTGGAACACATGGATTAACTGGCCCCCGTATGGATTTGGTCGTGAAGTTGACACCAGCACCGGTCTTTACGTCACCTTTATTGACTACATCATCCTTGCCCACGTGCAGAAGGCGAAGGACGTCCATGAAGACGACGATTTCAAGTGGCGCCAGTGCATCAACGAATGCGGCATGAACACTTCCGTACAGGATGCCATCATGGATGTAAACTTTAAGCAAATTCGCATGACTCAATCATGCGTCGGTTGGGTTACAGATACTGTTCAGATGCGGTACGCTGGCCTTAAAGAAATTCAACGAGCCTCTTGTGAGCGAGAGATGCAACTTGAGCGGGAGCGCTCAGGTCAGCGCGGTACCAGCAGCAATATGGGAAGTCATCTAGGTGAGAGTAGTCAGCGTTGTGGCAGCTCATCCCAAGGGGGTGGAAGCATTCGCTGCGATTCATGGGACCCGGATATTTTCAAGGGAGCACAAGATGATCCGGAAACCCTTGTTCTATTCAAAGCCATTGATCTTGGGCGTGCCGGCAAGTTGGTGAACGCGGATGGGACAATTGAGATGGAGAGGATCATGTTTCTTCTCTCCAAGCCGCCATCCGACTTCAGCAGCACCAGAGCAATGAACTACTTCACGCCTGACATGGACGTGGCCGAATTCTTCGCAGCATATGCTAAGCGTCGTGCCGGCCGCGAGGCTGTTGTCATGATCACTGTCCACATTCCGAAAAAGGTCATCCTCGACATGAAGGAGCCCGATGTTTTCCGTCTGCACTATCCAACGCCAGAGTGGAAGCAGCTTGTCTGGCACAGCAAGAGCGGCACAATACTGCGCAAACCGCTGAGCAGGTGTCAGGAGGAATCCATTCTTATCATCGGTACTATTTCTACAGGGGCGAGCCGCATGTACGACGACATGAAGTCTTGGGAGGAAATTGATGAGCATTGCCTGCTTCGAGTTGGACAAGGGGGCAAGAATATATCAGAACAATACTGCTTTACAAAAGCAGAGGAAGGAATAGAGTTCCTCGAGGAACATGGCCAGTTTACTGTTTTTTGTTACTCGGAGAAGGAGATAGGTTCTTTAATACGCCGCTGTAATTAATATCTAATATATACTAATATATACTAATATAGCTTTTTATAAGTAAATATATTTTACTATTTTATATAAATAATAAAATTAAACAAGTAATATAACTATAATCTCCGCTCTAATGTATCGCACGCTAGCATAGCTGTTCAATTTGACTTTAATAAATACCAGAAATGCCTATATACCTGTCATCTTTAGTATAAGCCCCCTGCTAAACAAATACGTTATAGCAACAAATAACCTTTATCAAAATCCGCGGCTACAATTCGTTTCTCCAAGATCATCCGCTAACCCACCGTCTTCTATCAAACTCGGTACGCCCCTCGGTAATTCATTGTCGGTTGACCGCTACAACACGTCGTAGCTCATCATGGGCTATTTAGCTATTTCCTATCACCATACTCATTCCGCCCGCCGCCAACAGAATGATACAAGGCCTGCGTCGGCGACTGCGTCTCCGAGCCACGGTACGCAGTGCTCTCTTTGTGCCCATGGCTCCATTGCGAAGAAGGCGTCATGGCCACGTCAGCCTCGTCGCGCAACGAACCACCGGCCTTGCGGCGCCTTAAACGGTCCCTGTTGCGCTTGATTCCCTGGCCGTTGAGGTGCGTCAAGATGAAGATGGCGGCCCAGACAAAGGTAATGGTTGGCAGAACCCACGGCGTTCCCAGGAACACCCCGAGTTTCTCGTCGTCGTACCACAAAGTGGCGACTAGGCCGGTGCCCAGACCCAGGAGGAGAATGATGGCAAGACGCGCAATCGGCCACGGTTTGAACGGGGTGGTGCGCGCGATGATGGTAAGAAGAACCATGAGAACAATCGTACATCCCGCGGCGATGTAGCCGTATGCAAACTGTGGTGCGGAGGAACTAGTCAGTCGGGGATCTTTACAGCTATGCGACATGGTAAAGGGGGGGGGGGATGGTTTGCATACCACCAGGTAGTACCGTTGCAACGTCTTGCTGAGGATTAGAACCTGATATCCGCCGTCTTTGACCTCTTTAGCCGCCGTGGGGTATTTATGGGAGACGTCTTCATCCAGATTGATGCCAAAGGCCGCGAATAGAGCGTTGTACATGGCAAAAGACAAGGTGAGAAAAGCGTCGTTGGTCGTTGCCAAGTCGGCTTCGTAGCCCGGAGGCGCAGAGCTGAGGTCCGATGGCACGGTGCCGTTCACAAGCAAAGGCCAGAAGCTGTTGGATATGGTTGTGAAATTGTTCAATGCTTGGTTGACGGTTTCCACAGTGCTAAGAATTTTAGGCGGGTAGTCTTGGAAGAAGGCTTGCACCGAGGCGTTGATGGAATCTCGGACTTTTAGGCTCGTCATTTCCTTGGCGTCGTCGAATGGATCAGCAATATCGAGTGCTCGTTCCGCCTGGCCGGTTATCTTGGACCACAAGAGGTATTGCGTGAAGCCTTGCATGAATAAAACCAGGGCGAGGTGGAATGGCAAGTGTAGGCTTGTCCAAAGCTGCTGGCGGAGCCGGGGAAGGTAGAATGAGTCCCTCAACCAGTCGAAATAGACCAGAAACACCAAGTAAATTGTCGTGGTGCCTGCTGTGACGAGACCAATCGTCGTGGCATCTTTGAAACAAAGTGGTAAGCATTGGGCCCCAGGCGTGTACTTCTCAGCAGACTGCTGTACTCACCCCATGCGGTTGGGTTTTTGACAATGGTTACGACCTCTTTGGCCAGTTGCTGGATGCCTTCACCCATGATCATGACAGTCAAAAGCGTCATTCGCTTCATCAAGTGCGTCTTGGTGAGACTGGCGACAGGGGATAAATTAGACAGCAACAGACTGAGGATGGCTTCGCCGCCCGCAATAAAGTACCACGTCATGTACACCCTGCTCTGCTTCTCGCTTGTAAAGCGGAAAGTGACGCCGAGGTAGACGGCCGAGGCGGCGGCGTGGAGGCCAATTTGCAGGTAGAGTGGCAGATGGGCCTTTTTATATCTTCGCACATGCCATAGCGTCGACGCATACTCGACGGCTAGACATGCCCGCGAGAAGCACAGAATGAGAGCTACAACGACTAGTTAACCGGAAGCTGCGATACGTGGGCGAACAGCCTACTTACACATGGCGCGCATTGTGTCGAGATCTTGGTCTTTGGGATTGAACTTGGGAGCGACGACTACGAAGCCGACCAAGACGCCGAGTTGAATGGCCCTAGTAGCGCGAGCTGGCGCATCGGCGTTGTTTAGCAATGCGGCATATTGACGAATATCAACTGGGAAGAATCCAATGCTTACCAAAGAGGCTATCAGTGACATATCGCACATCGAACAGCGCGACCTGAAACCAGGTCAACCACAGCAAGCTACAGTCATTGAATGGTCAGCTTCTCTTTCTCTCTTTCTCTTGAGGGCACATTCAAATGCGCCATGGCAGATTGCGAGACGGAACACACGAACCAGAAATATCCAACAGAGGCTTTGAACTTGGTTTGGCCAGTGACTTGCTGGGTGTCATTAAAGACATTATAGTTGGCGGCGAAGAACAAATCGTAGAATATTTCGAGAAGCGTCGGCTCTTCATACTATTTATTGATGCCAAGCAGGCGACAGGTTAGCTTCCGCGCAAGCAACGACATCAGCCGACAATTCCGAAAAGGAGCAGAGGGTGAGAGAACACACGCGTTGGAACTGTGGCAGGTCGTAGTCTTGATCGTGGCGATGATGCTCGCTATTGGATTCGTCGTGACCATCCTCGATGCGACGCCAGCTCCCCCCGTGCGCCGGGCCCCGTTGGCTAAGCCTGCTCGTACGCCGGACAAGCGGGCTGCTAAAGATGCGAAGCTTCTTGTGCTGGTGTTGATGATGCTGGCGGTCAAAGTCGTCTTCCAACATGTTGTCGGCTGCGCTCTGTCCGCGACGTCGGTTCTTTGCCAGGAGATGATGCCGGCGAGGCAGATCGATGGAGGAGACAAAAAGATGAAGCAGTCAGTCCATTTGACTTGAAGCTGGTGTAAGGTTACTCAAACGCTATTGACTCTTAGGGCTGAGGTTGCACTGCCCCTCCGTGGATCTTTTGCATGCAACGGGGATCGATCTACAAGAACGGCAATGAAAAGACTAGGAGACACGAGTCAGGCTAGTTGAGAGTTGATGTGCCTTTGCCGCCCGACTTGGCTGTGTGTCGAGCTTGGAGTCATGGTGCAACGTCTGCCGGGCCGTCCATGTCGACCTTCATTTCGACGCCTCTGCCTGCAACTTTTCTGAAACGAACGCAAACGAAAAAGGCCCCTGGCCCGGTATGTATGTTGCCGGTGTGACGAATAATATTCCAGTCCACTTAGTTCAATGTTGCCAACGGGTAGTCATCGAATGACTATTGCTCCTGGGCCAAGCGTGGCTATGGCTTTGACTAGCCGTTTGGACATCATTCATGGCACCGGGGCCAATGCCGGATGCGGAATGGTCCATGCAGCGCTTGGAACCCATGCATTATGGTCAAGTGTGGCGTTTCTTCAAGGCTCCGCTATCTGGGCTGTGATCGGCTAATATCATCAATGGCACGAGTCTGGTCATGACACTTCAATGTTGACACCTCTTCCCCTCGCCATTGCTATTCCAAAATCCAAAATTAGGTACTACTCGCTATCAACGTCCAAAGCATGGTGTATGCCCGTGTCTAACTATAACATAGATATGTATGCCACGCAACGCCCATCAGAACAATGCAAAACTCCGACGCGACACCATCAAGGTAAAAAAACACAAGCCATCATGTACATAGCCGCTCTTCAAGTTACACGCGGTCGGGTGGCACGGTCCCGTCAGGCCCGTCAGGGAACTTGGGCAGTTCGTAGCGCTTCTTCAGATCATCGAGAACGGGCCCGAGGCGGTAGTCACTGTGCATGCTATCATGGTTACAACAGGGGGAGTGTCGAATGGGTAAGAACCACTCCCAGGGTTCGTTCCCCATGACGGATTTCCAATTTTCCCAAAACCCAAGGTCCCACGGATTTTCGTACGGCTCGGTTTTTAAAATGGCAAAGGTGCGGAATGCGTCCTGGTCACGAGCCGACGTCGAGGCCGCAGCGTCGTCGTCCAGCTGACCGGACCCGGTTGCACCCGCAACTTTTGGCAGTATTGGATAGGTTATGGTTTGGTATTTTGTTGACGCGGGTGTTCCTAGTGGAATTCGAACGGCCAAGTTGAATGTTTGCCTTCTTCGCAGCATGTCAATATTGGTGATGTTGGTCAAGAGGAAGCGCCCGCCCGTGAGGGTCATGCCGAGCGCGAAAAGGCCAAAGAATGAGGATATCACCAGAATGGCAATAATCCAGCCATCGACTTGGATTTCATCAGAGTCGAGTTCCGCGACGAGACAGTAGATGGCGATTGCGGCACACAGCCCACAAAGACAAGAGGCGTAAAAGGTAAATTGAACAAAAAAATTAAAGGCTGGTACCCCGTCGGTTAGCAATATTTCCTCGCCATGCCACACGTCTGACGAGAGGCGCCGCAAAACTCACAGGTTTCTGACACCATGCCGCCTACCCAGGGACACATGTGGTCCATCTTCCTGACACACCGACCCATTTCGCGAGAATGATGTGCTCTGTCGGGCTTCCACTGCCGGCATTCTGAGCACCACTTAGGCCGGCCATCCGCCTCGCACGCAAACACATCCTTGCTGTAAAAGGCCTCTAAGCCGGGGCTGTCTGGATTCAAGTCGGGCGGAACCCAAGGGGGATTCTCGGGGTCCGTCTTGCGCCTCGATCGGAAACCACGACGCTTCTCGCCCGGCTCAGGAGATTTGTCGTCGCGGCCATTCGTAAGGGGGACAAGGCCCGGGTCGCGCTGGACAGTGACGAAGAGCTGGGCGTAGCAGACGAGCGCGAGTATGTACAGCGGGAAGAACAGCACCAAGAGACCGGCAGCAAGACCCGTCTTGCCCTGGCGGCGCAAGATATATTCCACTGGGATTGGCAAGTCAGGTTACTGCTCAGTAGCGCAGTTGTTGTCGGACGAGGAAGACAGGCTCACCACAAAGACG